CAAGATGTAAAGTAGAAAAAAGGGGTAAAACAAGATAAGAGCTAGTTGTCCTTTTCTTATCCCACTAATGATTGCTTTTACTTTTTGCAGTTAACTCTAAAAAGCAAAAAGAACACTGCAGCGCGCGATAAAGCAAACAAAGGACATTATAGTGCGCACAACAAAGCAGCCCAAGGACAACACGACAAAGAGCAGGGCAGACGACCAAGTTGCTGCATTAAGGGCCAAAAGATCGTCTTTGAGAATCAGTGCTAGAGGACGGATCAACCTTGTCCCCATCTGGGGAAATCAATGTCCATCATCGATCAAGCTAAAGGGAGTCAACCTCCGTCTAACAGTGCAGGAAATGACTCTGGTTAATCACAAGATTGTCATCGTCTAACCCTGCCTATAAATAAAAGATCAAACGAAGAGTAAAAATAGTTTTGAAGTCTGGGAATCCTTAGCTGCAACGTTGGCATAACCAGCTTCTCACCGAGCTCTTAGCATAGAACAACACCCCTATCTTCTCTACACACCATTAAGTCTCCCCTTAAGCAAAGAACCATATTTATCCACTTTATTTTTACTGTTATATATTGAGTTTTAAAGTCTCTGAGTTTGTAACTTCTTTTCGACTAGTTTGTCTTCGTCAACTTGTATCTCGGGTCTATGGGATTTCAAGTTGTTAAGATTATGTATACATTTTCAGCTATGTCTTTAAACATGACCTAACTTCTTTTTGGAATGGTAAAACTATAAAATTGTTAAATCGCTATTTTTGAAACTCTCTGACTAAACCTCTTGGATTTTTATTGTTTAAGTATTTTAATATCTTGTATCAACTGACCTTGAGCATGACTGAGAAAGGAACTTTTAAAGGGAAAGGATTTCAAACAGTTGAACAATAGGAAGAAGGTGAGTAGTGTAGTAACACTCTCACTTGTCGCCTTAGGAATAAGGGGCCACCTCATTCACAAAGGTTCTATACTGAGTCATTGTTGGAAACGAAGTCGCCATAGGAATATGGGGTTTCGTACACCATTTAGCCCATGAGCTGAGGAATTAGAGTTGGCATTATACAAACCTGAACAAATTCATTGGGCAAGATCTTGAGCCGAGATTTTAGTTGGTTTAACAGTGGATTAGTGGATTCATTCCATTTTTTTAATTTATCATTCCATTTAGCAAATCACCGTGTTATTCTTTACCAAAGCTCATTTTAATTTTTTGCATTTTATTTTGTTTCACACCACACCACACCTCAACATTTATTTCTATGATCTGTCGTTCCTCCTTATATTAGGAAGGACTTGAGTATATAATGATGCGAGGAATTGTTTGAAGTTAAATTGAACCATTTGTCACAAGGGAACACCCTTGAGATACTTGGGAACGTCACTAGAACAATTCAATACTATTAACTTACTCTTTTCATTCTTTAACTTAGCTTAAAATATCAGTTAGTTTAAAATATCAGTTAGCAATACTTTCTCTGTGGGAACGATAATCTGGGACTTAAACACTCCCATTTATTACTTGATGCGTGCACTTGGGCTAAGTTGTCTTCATTCTAGGGAACGAATGTGTTTCCCTTGACTGATAGTAAAAAGGACCAAAAGTCATAATCTTGGGAATAAATGTGTTTTTCTCGATAGACTACAAGAGGACCCAACATATATCTGATTATGGATTCTATGAAGATTTGTTATGATTTAAAAGGAAACTCTTCTTTTCAATATAAAAGAGAAGATTTGGAAATAGGATTGATGGAATAATTATGAAGATCTGATTAGTGATTTTAAAGGAAAATAAAAAGATATGCTTTTTCAATTATAAAAAGGAGGTTTCAAGGGATTAATTCATTCATGCACAAAGGAAGAAAGTATAGGTCAGAGAATTCAGAGTTTGCGAAGATCAAGGACAAAGGTAGAGGGAAATTGAAGCATCATTGTAGAGATCGACCAACACCCATTCTGTGACTTCTTCTATTTTATTATTATTTTTAAGCCAAATATGTCTAGCTAATTTTCTTTGTAGTTAGGAATATGGATCCGACATGAATCCTTTATTTGGTTTAATTCTTTTCATTAATAAATTGTCTCTAATTATTTGTGTTTATCTTGAATTGTTTGTTTAAATTCTTGTATGATCTGGCTAACCATATAGGAATAAAGAGGATTAGAGTTTGCAATAGACATATTGGGGTCTTAATCTAGACAGGGATAAACATCGATTCTTACTTGATCTAGACATAGGCTGGTAGAAATTGCAAACTTTCGTAATTCATCGTGCGTAAGGCTTAATTTGAAGGGGTTACTAAGGCATTAGAATTCCAATTAGGTTAAAGGGTACTTAGATATTAGGATTTAACCAACTAATTATTTAGATGATGAATTGTTTGAAATAATTGGGATAGAGAGTTATTGAATTGAATTAAATCATAAAAGCGGGATCAGATGTGAAGTATACCTAACTGCAGTTTTTTTATTATTGATTTTAAATTCATCTTTTAATTTACTAAGTCTTTGTCTTGAAATTTATTATTACTTGCAATTGTCCTTTATTTTATTTTCATAATTAAAAAAATTACTCTTTTCAAACCAATTTGATTTGTCCAACTTAAGTAAAAATAATGAACTAGTGCTTGAGACACTAATCCCATGAGAACGATACTCTATTCACTTCTTTATTACTTGTGATACCGGTATACTTGTCGTGATTGCAAAATTTCTTAACCTCACTTTTCCCAAAAAAATTAGTGAAAGTTGGCGTTCAATTTTAAATTTTATTTTGAACTAATTAACTTTAAAGAGTCATAACTTGAGTTATACAAATCCTTTTTGCGTGAAACTAGTGGCAATGGAAAGCTAACTCAATAAAATTCAAGTTTAAAATATTTCATAAATTTTGGATGTGTATACTATTCTTAGTTGATCCGTTAACATGACTGAATTGTTGATTACTATGTTTTTAGAGATTGTACTTTAATCGGTCATATCTTAAGCTGTAGAACTCCAATTTCAATGATCTATACTTTTTTAGAAAGCTTGAGATATGTATTATAACACATTAAAAAGTCAATTTTTTTGGTGTTATCATGCATTACCAATTTTAAATGAAAGTTTACTAGTTTTCAAAAATAAAAAAAGGTTGAGAATACAATTAGGATTAATAAATCTAAGTTAGGTATCAAATTTCTTTCCTTCCAATGATTGGCTAGTTAAAATAACTTGATCATTCATAATAATAGAAAGGGGACGATTATACTTACTACCATATTAGGCTTACTATTCTCACTACATGTTTGGTTGCCATTGGATCAACTTGAAATCAACAGTTGATAAAAGGGAAAAATTAACTGTCGTTGACTGCAAATTGATCTAACGGTAACCAAACAGGTAGTAAGAATTGTAAGCCTAAAATGATAGTAAGTATAACATTTCCCTTATTTTTATAGACTTTTTCTCTAAATCTAAAACTATTTGAGGAAAGTTATACTTACAACTATTTTAGACTTACTACTCTTACTACCTATTTGGTTAGATCAATTTGAAATCAACAACAGTTAATTCTTTTCTTTTTTCAATCGTTGATTTCAAGTTGATCCAACGGTAACCAAACATATAGTAAGAATAATAAATCTAAAATGGTACTAAGTATAACTACCCCCTAAAAATTATACTTTGAGTCTTTCTTCAAAGTGTAGGTGATCATTCACGAGAAAGAGTGCATTGCATGTATTATAAGTATTTCCTCTTAAGGCGCATTCTAAATTATTTTGCAACCAAGATAATAGTAGATTCATTCAGTCCACCACTTCGGTTTGATTTTTATCTATTTGCTTATGGCAAAATCTTTTCGTATGTTGCAGGCAATTTTTTCTCTCATGTCCTAGAAACATTGTTATGGTGGATCCCACCAATTTCTTGAAAACAAAAAAAAAACTTAAAGAAAAACAAACTTATTGTGAGATAATAGGAGATGACTTCTCCCAACTACAGGAGAAAATCATCTCCCTTTGCTTATTTATTAAAGAGTTTTCATTTTATCCTTTAACATAACACAACAAACTTTCCTACACTCACAATATTTTGTGGAGCCCACACTTTTTAAAACAAAAAAATAAATAAAAAATTAAGGCACGCAAAACGAATCTCTATAACATTACACAATCACTTTTCCTACAACATAACTCTTATAAAACCTTTATTAAAAGCGCATAAAGTAACTCTTATTTGATTTTCTTTTAGCTATCGTTCGAAGTAGGCAATAATGCAGCAATTATCTAGTGATTTGGAGTTTTATTCTTTTGATTTAAAGTTAAGCTGAAAGAGTTTTTGACAATTGTGAGAGATTTTATAATTGGGGCACAAATTACAAGAATAAATTAAAGTACCTAAATCTAAAAGTTGGTTTGGATAAATTCTTGTATAATAATATAATAGGTTCCTGTAAATTGAATTGAGCATAGTACATAATAGGGGATTCTATCTTAATTGGATAGAAGTATCAAAATTGAGATAGTGAATTTTTTCCTATAATTGAAATTTTTCTTATATAATTACTTATGCTTATCTATTTTCTATTTTTTTATTAGTTAAAATTATTATCTCATTTAAATTCATAAGTTTAGATAATTCAAATTATTCCTTCTTGAATTCATCGGGACCACCAAGAAACGTGCCGAGATTAGCACCACAGGGATAAAGTAAGAGACTTTTTATCGGTATTATCTTTGAAATTTGCATTATTTGAATGATTTGTTTAAAAAATTACATTTGTTAAAATTAAAATATTAAATTTTAATAAAATTAACACAATGTCACGTTACGTTTGACGTTGAGAGAACCATATCATAATATTGTTGGATGCTGGCATGGTACACTCCATATAGAAAGAGTGATGAAAAGGACGTCGACGTGGAACTAGTCTTAGTATAGGTTCTGGCCCTATGCATCACACGATTTATGAAACGTGGACGGTAAGATTTCACGCTTTCACTCCTCAACCTCCTTATAAATTGGGGTCTAACCTTGCATTATTACTCATTCAGGTGAAGTTAGCAACTAGCAATCAGTGTTCATTGCTTCACATTTCTGTGTGTAAATCTCTTCTTAGCTTCTGAATATGTCTAGCTGTGGGTGCGGAAGTGACTGCAAGTGCGGCAGCGGCTGCAGGTAAGGAATTGTGTTTTTGGGTTCTTCTTTATTTACTCAGAAATGGGAATTTTTTTTTTCCTGGGAAAGTTTTGTTTATGGTTTTTTGATTGGATTTTTGGGTAACAATCTCGTTGAATTATATGGATATTTTTGTTTTCTTTTTCTTCCGACATGGGTTTCTGGGGTTGTGATTTGCTGGTCTTTTTTAGGCTCTGTTTTGCTTTCAGAGAGTCTTTTTTTTTTCTTGTTCTGGGAAATTTTTTTGGCCATTATGATGGGCTTTTTGAGTAACCTTTTGGCTGGATTCTATGAAATTCGATGCTTTGTTTTTCTCTCTACATGGGTTTTTAAGGGTTCTAGTCTGTTCAAGGCTCTGCCTTTTTTTTTTTTTTTCTTTCAGGCAAAAATTTTCTGGGTATTTTGATTGGTTTCGTGGGTACCCTTTTGGCTTAATTTTGTTAAATCCGATGTTTCGTTCTTGTTTCGATATGGGTATTTAAGGGAGTAGGACATAGATTTCTTTGAGGCTCTGTGTTTTTTTATTTTATTTTTTTGTCTTTTTCGGTGGTTAGGCTCTGTTTTGCTTTCACTGTTTCACAGTTTTTTTTTTGTTTTTTTGTGTTAATCCGAGAAAATTTTCCTGGGTATTTTAATTGCGCTTTTTGGGTACTTTCCTCCTTGAATTGTCGGGAAAAAAATTGATACTTTATATTTTTCTTTTTCTTGCATGGATTTTTCCGTTTCCATTGAGATAATTTTCCCATAAAACTTTTGTGACTTGAATGTCTTGAAAGTATCATTTTTTTTTATTTTTTTCACATATTTTACACATCATGTGTATCGTAAAGAATCATTCCAAATCAAAACTTTGTAGTTTGTTAATAAATTTATATTATATTTATGTAATACGCCCTTTCGCCTAATAATCCATTAGGCAAATCGAACTGAATATCAAGTTAGTAGTTATATTTTTCTTAACATGTATATTGATTTATTGATTTGTTGATTTTTCTTTCACCGCAGCTGCAATAAGTACTCTGGCTTGAGCTATGCCGAGGCCACAACCACAGAGACTGTGGTTATGGGCGTTGCTCCTGTGAAGGTCCAGTTCGATGGAGCTGAAATGGGTGTTGCTGCTGAGAACGGTGGCTGCAAGTGCGGATCAAACTGCACATGCGACCCCTGCAACTGCAAGTGAGGTGCAGCTGATGAAAGCTTGATGCAGAGACGAAAGCAATATATGTAGCAACAGTTAAAACATAATAAGAAAGTACATGTTTGTTTCGTGTTTTAGAATAAAGTGGCCATGGCTCACCTGCAGCTAATTCTATTGTTCTAGGATTTGTTGAGTGTGTCTTAAGCTATGATTACTTTGTGTTTGGTTGGTCTTGTATAACGTTTAGCTTTTCTGAGCTAATCTGTATCACTAATCTCTGCTTATAAATGGAACACTGTTATGTTACATGAATAAAGGGTTTGTTGATTTACTTCAAGTTAATTAAACATAGTGGCAATAATGTTGCGTTTAAAAAAAAAAACCCATATTAATACGACTATGACACTTTTTATTTTATTTTCTTTGAATAGATGATCCTAGAAGTTAATGTTTGTAAAGAATTAATTCAACATTGGTAGGTAAATTTACGTTAATAATTTATATATATTTCTCAAAGTTGGGTAGGCTGGAAAATTACTCGTGATGTGAATGATTTTTGTTTTTAGTGACGTGAATGACTTTAACATCAGGAGTTTCATTTTTAGGAATAAGTTATATGAGATAGGATTTTTTTACAATTTTTTTTTTTATTTTTGTAAATTACGCTAAGTACGATCGGTTGTACACTGTATGATTGAAGTATGACTAGTCGTATATTGTATGATTAAAGTATGATCGATCGTACTTAGTGTAGTTTGTAAAAAAAAAATTTGTAAATATAATCTGTCATAAGTTATATTTATAAATAAAAAATATATTCTTATAAATTATATTATGTATTATAAATAATATATCATTTAAGTATATATTATACATAATATAACTATAAATAAAAATTTTGAAAATATAATTGATAGTTTTATAAAATTCTAATATGTCTCCGATATTTAAAGTAAATACCAATTTATGTATAACATATAAGAAAGTAAGAAATTCTAATCAGTTAGTGTTAGATAATAATACTCGCAAAAGGTAGGTTTATCGATGAATGAGCTAAACATGTATAGATACTAATCCTACGGCGTGGACTTCAATGCCAAACGTATAAGGCTGAACCCCCCATAGAAAGACGAGTGTTTAAAACGACGTCGATGTGGAAAGAAGGCCGGTGGAGGTTGTCGCGGCATATATACGGCATATGATCTTGACACGTGGATGGTCAGATTTCAATTGTCGCTCATCAACCGAATTATAAATTTGGGTCGGCACCTTCATGAAAACTCGTACTGGTAGAATCATTACTGTTCCTTGTTTGTTCTGCGTCATCATTGTAGTTTCTGTGCGTGATTTTCTTCTTTGCGTCTGAAAATGTCTTGCTGTGGTGGTAACTGTGGGTGTGGAAGCAGCTGCAAGTGCGGCAACGGCTGCGGAGGGTAATTTTTTTTTTTTTTTTTTATCGATTTGGGTCTTTGGTTGGTTTATGGGAAATGAACATTTTCTTTTGGGTTTTTGATATGGTTTTTGGGTACCCTTTTGGCTTAATTGTATAAAATTCGATGCTTGATATTTTTTCCTACTTGGGTTTTTAATGGGTTGGATTCGTATCTCTGAGGCTCTGTTTGTTTTTCACGGTGTCTCTTTGTTCCTTTTTTTTTTTCCTTTCTTGGAAAATTTTCCTGGTACTTTGGTTGGCTTTCTGGGTACCCTTTTGGCTGAATTATACAGATTAAGATACTCTTCGCCTTTTACCTTGCATGATTCTCAGGAATCTACTTAGATGTTGATCTTCCAGGAAATAAATTTCTATATGTCTGGAAGGTTTCTTTTTCTCTGTGTCTCATCAATTAATTATCTTTTCTTTCGGCACATTTTCACACTCTGCAAATCCCACCGAGTTGTTGATTTTGTTTTTCTTGGTTAAAATATCAATTGAAGCGTGCTTATTGCACAAGCTTAATTTTTTTTTGGTTTATCTTATATTTATTTAATTTCGTAAGTGGGGTAGTGACAATGGAACTCGTAATCAAATGGTGACTGAATTATAATACATGTAAATGGGTGAGGGTATTTTCAATGATTTATATTATTTTTTATTATCTTGTAACGCAGCTGCAAGATGTACCCAGACTTGAGCTATGCTGAGAAGACAACCACAGAGACTCTGGTAATGGGCGTTGCACCTGTGAAGGCCCACTTCGAGGGTGGTGAAATGGGTTTTGCAGCTGAGAACGGTGGCTGCAAGTGTGGATCAAACTGCACATGCGACCCATGCAACTGCAAGTGAGCTGCATTTCTAAGCTTGAAGCAGAGATGACCCCTAGCCCTTAATTAGTGGTGGAAATAATTGCTATACCTTTTTACACACTTTATTAAGACTCTCTGTATGTTTGTTCTGTGTGCTTTCATGTTTGGTGTAACACCCTTTGGAGTTTTAGAATAAAGTGGCCATGCACCTTCAGCAAATTCAATTGTTCTGTAGGATTTGTTGTGGGTGTCTCGAGCTATGGTTGCTTTGTTATCTGCTGTGTTGGTTTTGTATGAAGTTTTAGCTAATCGGAATCTTGAGTCTCTGCTTATTAATTGAATAGTATTGTGTTTTGTAAAGAAAGTCTTTCTTGATTTTTTTTATTTTTTATTTTTATTTTTTTTGGCTATTAGTATAATGCCAATAAACATTGCAATCAGAGAAAGTCCTGATTAACACGACAATGATACAGATATTTTCTTTAAAAAATCGAACGAACTGGGGATGACGTTGCAAGTAGATAGAAATTGCGTGGCCTGCAAAATAAAGTAAATTATTAAGACCCAGAATTCTTTATGAGACGTCGTTATAATGGCCCCCTTCTGCTATTGTAGTACATGTGATCAATTTATTTGCTTACTGTTGCTGGCTGCTTCTGTATAGACTCAAAATTGTGTGTTCCATGCTTTAAAAAAAAAAAATAATTGTGTGTTCTACTTCGCTGTGGGTTCTTCATGTATTGATTGCAAATAATTTTCTTCTCTTTTACTAGAGCATATTTTGGTTAAAAAAAAAAAAAGCGATTTATCAATATTATGTTAAATGATGAAGTTTATATCATGCTACACTCACAATGCAAGTGGGTCTCACAAGTTTTTATCAAAAAACAAAAAATAAGAAAATGGTGGGGCCCACTTGTACTGTGAGTGTAATATGATGTAAGTTTCATCATGTAACATAATATTCATAAAAAAACATATTTAGAAAAGCCTAATTTGAGGAGTTATTTTAACAGCTTACTACAATTTCAGCTTACTAAGATAAGAGAGAAATGTGAAAAGGTGTTGGTTTAGTGATATTTTAGTATTTATTCAATTTCTGAGTAATAATTTTTGAAAAGGGTGAAGAGATTAAAATTCGAAGTCAGAATAATCAATCCCTTAAGATTTCTGATAGTGATTCAAAACAGAATGGTAAGTACCCAATGTCGAAAAACATGAGGGAATAGCCAATATTATATTCTTTTTTAAATTTTTATGACGAGAAAATAAGATTAAGAGATAAATGCAAGATTGAAAGGAACTTCTAATCAATTTGAGCATATACTAAGACTAACATGTAACCAAGACTAATTAGGAACAAATGACCAAAGGGTTTATATAAACAAAAGTAACTCCAAGAGCCTGAGTAGAAAAATTACAATTGATCAACATATAGTGAACACAGCTTAGCAAACATATCAAGGAAATTGAAATACAACTTCAATAAAAGTTGTTAGAAGGGAACAAAACTAAATATGATTGATATTGATGGCCTAAGTTTGGAATGTTTCGAAAGGCATCCTATGGTGAGCCATAGAGTCTCACCTTATGAGATCCTGTTTTCTTCCTGCACAACACTCATTGTACATTGATAATGGGTGCAAGACGCCTTGTCTCAGAAACAAGGCTAGGCTATAATTGCTCAACTTTGTTCTCTCTCCCCATTTTCTCTCCTATGCCTAGGAAGTCCAATTCTACCCATAAATACCCCTTTTCTCCAACGAAGGGATATCACTTTCACTTCACTTATATGAGTTGTTACTCTGTTGACATAGTGAGTCACTATAGCCATTTACACTATAACATTTTGTTTGCAGCTGGAGTATTATCATACACATGGTACTAAGCGCAGCGTACTTAATTATGTACGCAGAAGCTAAACTTATAGTATTGCAATTATACTTATGTAATTATGTGAATAAACTTTTGATTTTATATTTCCTTATGTATTGCCATGCATGCCATTTATTTCATGTCTACTCAAACTATCATACTACCCTATACCTTAAAATCTCTAAATACTTGAGACTTTACCAAAACCATAGGTAATGGTAGTCAGTTACCTGAATATGATAATCATACATCACATCCGTTAAAATAAAATGGACAGCATCGGGTTGTATCTTATGGAATTGGGATACTTCCCAATCTCATTAAAAACCTGATTAACAATTTGCAAAGTTTGATACATATTTTTCGTCCTATCCATTAGATTACATCTAGAACCCATCCATGAATTTTACATACTAGGCTCCATTCCAATAATTTACATCCAATGCGTAATTATTATTGTAACACCTCGTATATATCCGGTAATGTTATCATATCATCGTATTAAACTGCGCTTAATTAAAATTGCGGAATATCTTTTTCTTTTCAATTATGATGTCATTATCATTACCAACTTGCTTAATTAATCAATTAAATAAAATCATGTCTGTATGTAAATTGCAAAAGACACATAACTGAAATATCTCATTAATTAAAATAACATAAGTGTGTCTCTTGTCACGGAGCTACAACACATAGACCGGACCAACTAGCAGTTTCTACAACTCAACTCAAAAGTACTAACAACATGGTGGCATGGACAACTCCCATGCTCACCCCAAATAAGGCAACAAAGCCCACATAAGTCTCAACTCAACAACAACATAATGATAAAGGCGGAAAACATAAACAACATCCAATCCAGTCATGCCAGCATAAATATAACAGCAATAATCATCAACTAAGCTCTGGCCTTCTGCCGCCAGAGGCATCAGTCCTCATACTACCTGAACCTGAAATAAGCATTCTCTAAACGTGGGGTGTGATCTCTAAACAAGAAATCTCAGTAAGACAGGGGGTCCTCAAGGATCTTCCACCCCAAGCTCACTTACATGAGCAATATAAGCTCAAAAGAAGTTTATCATCATCAGTTATAAAATAGTGCAATGCAGCAGATAATCATGTCATGTGTGTCAATTCTATTCTACTGGCCAGAGAAATGCAGGATTTATATACGCCAAATACCCACACATAGTGCAAGACGCCACTTGCATCCACCCCGGATCACTGTCTTGTATGACGCCACATACTCAGGCTTACCGTCAAGATGGAACAACACATGCATATTAAAAGCCATTACACATAAAGCTCAACAACATTTCAAATATCCAAAGCATGTAACACAGCATGCATATAACCATACCCCCATGGGACATGGTGGAACCACAACATGGCTAAACCGAGGACACGAAAGCTTACCTCTTAAGCAATCAATCCAAGTCAAGTCCACACAAGCTCAATGTCCAAACACAACAGATCATAATCTGATTTAGGACCAGCAAGCATATCAATATTCATAGCTCAATAGCATAAACATAAAAACTATGTTTTCCTTTTACGTTTTACGTCTTAAGGCTTTTCACAAAGCCATAAGCCCTTAATCCCTTGATTCTGACTTAGTTAAGTATTCACAGAAGTTCAACTCCATCAAAATAGGGTTCACAAACCCATAACCCAGTTCTGTATGAACAGTACCTTACTGTTCCTCGAAATTCTAGAATATTCGGATATTCGTCGGGGGCATATCTGGATATCAATATCCGGATTTCTCTCTTCCAATATCCGGATATCCATATCCGGATATCCATATCCGGATATCCATATCCGGATATCAATATCCGGATATTCACAACAAAATATCCGGATATTCCGCGACAGAACCCAGATTCTGCATTTCGCGAAAATCCAAACCAAAGGTCCAACTTTTACCGAATACAGAAGCTTAAACATGCATTTCTAAGTGTGTTAAGCATTACCCAATGTTAAGTTATCATCTTAAGCTCATTACATGCATCAAGGTTCCATTTTTAACCAATAACTCATGATCGAAGGTTGAGTATGCATATCAAGCTTCTTAAAACAAAAAATGGCAGGGAAAATGGAGCTCCCTACACCAGTCCACTGAGCAGCAACCAAGGGCCACGAAAATGCACAACAAGAAGACTCTTTTCTTCACAAAGGTGGCACTTTGAAGCTCAAAATACCAACCCCAAGCTCTCACAAACCATCTCTCAAAGTCAGCACCTCCTCACCCTCAACAAGAGGCTACAACTCAGCAAGGAAGTCACTCACAACCTCACAAGACCAACCCACCCAAGGTAATGGTGTTTAGAGATGAAGAGATAGAGCAAAGGTGATAACTTGGCTCAAGAAATGGGGGAGAAGACCAATGTAACAGTATTCTGGTTAGCCACCCTCAACAAGTCACGTAGGAAATCTGAGTGTCCAGGATTTTGTGCCTTAATAAGCCTATATATAGTCACTTAAGCAATTAACACACATTATTAACTTTAATTGCTACGCTTAACATTTTAATCCCAAACTTAGGATTCTTAACCTACTCAATTTTACAAGAATTATCATATTTTTCTTATATTTTTCAGAGCACCTTTCCGGTACGCATTTTTCATAACCAGTATCAGTTTCTGGCACCAATTCTCATTATTTTAACTTGAAACTCGTTTTACAGGTCCTACCTGTTATTCTAGTAATTATCATGCACTTATTATAATTTTCCGGGATACTTTTTCGGTACGCATTTATACCGACTAGCAGAATCGGTATCTACACTTTTCGTCAGAAAAGCGACTTTCAGCATTATTACTCACTTACTATAATTATTAAAGCCTCATAATAATTATTAGAGTCAATTATGAAATTATCTCATTAAACTCATAATTAACTGATTAATTTCCTTAATTAACGGTGCAGGTTCTTACAATTATCAACATTCATACAAGCTTAATAGGATTTACGAATCCAACCCATGAACAATAAAGATTACATCAACATGTACTCAAATAAATAAGGCATCACATGCCATATACATACATACAAGCCTTAACCAAAAACTACCTAAGTTCTCGTCAATGTATAAGACTATACAAAATACACATCTATCCATCAAACTCATCCAAAATATCAACATATACATATAGCCCGGTCTCCTCAATCATGATAGCCTCTAACTCTGTATGGGCCTCTTGCCTTGTGAGGATCCATCCTCGACTGCTGAACTACATGAAATATGTCCCCAAAAAGGATGAGATATAAATCTTAGTAAACCTTGGGTTCTTGGAGTAATTCTCCACCCATGAGTTACTTCTTGCATGAAAAGGTTAAATAACATAGTATAATAACTTCATACATACATAATCAAAATCTGAATCTTCCAAGGGTTGTCTTAACGGCTAAATGCCCCAAGGAAGAATCCATACATAACCATTCCAAGGGTTGTCTCAATAGATAAATGCACCAAGGAAGGTCCACTTC